AATTCTTCCAATTCTTTATCAGTTACAAATTTGTAATCATCATAGATAATATCATAATTCAGTTCCTCCAATTCTTCCGTAAGATTGTCAAGGAAACTGCACCAGTGTGGAGCAGGGCCAAGACTAGGAATGTAATATACTTGCATTTTCACACTTTCATTAGCTGTTAGTAACATACCACTGTTCGGTATGACAGATAAATCATTAAAATCATTCTGAGCTTCTATGGAAGTATAAAGTTTACCCTAAAAAAAAAAAGAAAATAACTTTATGAGATTTTTGTTATACGATAAAAAATATTTTATAGTTTACATTTTGACTATAAATACAGGAACAAAATATGTGATTCCAATTCTGTCTATATATAGACATATATATATATATATATATAATTCAAGAATTTCAAAATTTCTTCAAAATCCTTTTTCTCGAAAACAAAGCTTAATTAAAAATGATTACCATTTTAATTTATTTTAAACTATAAAATCAACCTCATTCGATTATATCACATGTTTTGGTCCCATAAAGCTTAACTTTAAATAAAGTAAACTTTTTACTCACACTATCCTTGTTCCATATTTTTACAATTGAACTATCCATAGAATAAACAAGATCCATCTTTTGGTGAAAATCTATACATTTGATCGGTAATCCATACATATGATCTTTAGTTAAAAGTGGTTTATTAGATCTTATATCATATATTAATACATGTCCTGTTGATGTACCGACTCCTAAATTTAATCCTCCTTGAAATTTCAAGGCGGTAATTGCAGGAACTGTTTCCAATCTAATTTAAAAAAAAGTTAATTGTATTGTGATCTAGAAATTAGATTCCAATAAAGAGTATATTCTATCGTTATTCTTACTTATTTTGAGTAATGCATTGCAAGCCACAATCAAGTACGCCTACTTTATTTTTCACTCTTGGATCCCAAGCTTCTATTTTTCCTTCCTGAGTACCAATTATAAGTAAATGATGCAACGGATTTATCTCGCACTTATTTATTAATGTTGCTTCCGTTTCAAAAGGTTGCAAAAATTGACCACGCTCAAGATTTATTCTATATATCTTATTACTGCAAAAACATGTTCTGTGATAATTCTTTTTCATCTTACAATGGTTTCACAATTGATCAAAACCGATTTGATTTTCCTCGTGAATATGTTATTAAACACAAAAATCTGAAAGACATGTACTTTTTTATACATTCGGAAATTCATGTTTAAAGAGTAAAATACTTCTTTGAAAAAAAAACCAGGTTTTTTCTCTTTCGGAGCGAATATCGTCAAAAATACTGTATAAAAAATAGAAAAAAAATTTTAAATAAAAGTTGTATGATTTCAAAGGTACTTTAAAATACTTCCAACGATTTTTGTTCCTCCCCAAAAAAAGATTTTTTTTTTTAAAGAATGTTATACCTTTATAAGATCTTGCATGTATAAAACAGTATGTCTTTTACATTTATATATTTGACTACAAATTTGAGAGAAAATCAAATTGGTTTTAGACAGTTGTGGAATCCCTTGTTAGATGTATACAGGATAATTCGTATAAAGTGAATGATTTAATTACTAACGAAATTTGAAGATATATGAAAAAGTAGTTTATTATACCAATATGTTCAGTACAAAGGGGGGCAATATATAGTGAAAACAATTATTTTATGAGTGGAAGCGTTGGGGACATTTCAAGGTAACTTCATTTTTTTTTATAAAATACTGAATTTTTTATATCATTGTATGACATCCCTCTTTAAGATAAATTCATGGATATACTACACAAAGACATTTAAGGTTAAACTTTATCACAAAATTCATAGTAAAATAAAATTCAAATGTATGCTTTGTATTCTAAGCTTCAATCTTGAATATTCGACGGATAATATTATGTCGATGTTTAAGCCTCAATAAAGAAGCATTATTACTCAGTATGCATACTCTTCCACTCTTTAACATAAATAATCTTTTACAATAATCGCTGTGATTACAAAAAAATTTAGTTAAAGCTATTTAATTTGATATTATATTTCTTAGGTCTATTTTTGAGTTAATTTAAAAGATAAAAAAAGAGGTGACAACTTATACGAAAACATCCTGTATGTACACGCACACATGCACATGTGTATCTTTACTTTATATACTGTAAATTTAATTAAATAATGATCATAATATTATGTAATTGCTTAAGATTTCTAAAACTGACCTATCGCCTACAATAAAAACGTCACATGATGGATAATGGTATTTCATATCCCTTCCAAAGTTTGGTACTCTGAGTTTATAATACTTTCCATGAGCAGCATGAAATTCAACACTACGATCGCATTGCAGAAATATTATCTAAAAATGATTGTGATAAATTCAATAAAATTATTTTAATTCTAATCAATTCTTTAGTGAGCAAAAAAATGAGTGACTTAAATTTTTCATTATACTTTATTTTTTATTAAAGTTATGTATGTTGTTTTTTAATGTTATTTAAAAACATATTAATCACATAACACATACTAGATTTAATTGTCAGGCATAAAATAAAACGATTTATAAAAACTGGTTTTTATAAAAATTATAATATATTTTTTTTCTTTGTACAGAAACCTCAATTAATAAAAAAACAATTGTAAAAATATATTATAAATTATATAAATTAATATAAATATATTTAATAATACATTTTGATTACAGCATGATATCTATTTTGTACACCATCAATCATTTTGTCCTTATCAGTGAAAATTATCAACTAAAATAATATTGAATATATCCAACTTCATATCATAAAAATTACTTTAAAATATTTTTAATTTAATATTATAATCTATAATGTATCATAAAAATGTATTATATCATTAAATAACATGATCATGAATGTAAAACAGAATAAAATCATAATTTTTGCTCACTTTAATACTCAAATAATCTATTATATGCATTATTTTAATTAAATTAACTTAATTAACAACTAAAAATTCAAAATAGTAGAACATACAAACAAGTTTACATATTTTGTATATAATTATTTTGCAGATGTTCAACAATTTTACTTACTTTGCTGTAGTCATTTGATATCGTTTCAAAAGTAATTACTTCAGAATCAAAACATCTCTCAAATTTCAATGCCAAATTATGTACGTCAAAACATTTTACACGTGGTTTATAAATACCAGTTGCAAGAATGTACTGTTCATCTTTAGAAACTCTAATAGATGTGCTTATGCCAGGCATGTCAAAGTCTTGTATAAGTTCGATACGTCGTCGAACATCTACGAATAACATATTCATCATTATGTATTTGGAAATAGTAAGATATTACAAATATCTCGTTTATGAATTTTCATTTAGATTTTGATAAAAATATACATACTTCTTTTTGCAAGGAAAATAAAGATTTAAAAAATTATTTTTTTTACAATAATATAAAAACAATAATCATTAAAGAACCGCGAAGTTCACATTCACCAAAATCTAAATCAAAAATTTAAACTAAATATTTATATTTATTTATATATATATTAATGTAATTCTTACCGACATTTTTCGATAATTTTCTTCGTTTTCGTTCAGATAACCACTATAAAGAATAAGAATACACATTGAGATGTCACGCTTAAATTAAAATCTATACTACATATAGCAAAAAAATTTACCTCGGGAAGCGATTTTCCAGAGCTAAGATTGTAGATTTTTATATTATTTGGTGCGGAAACCTGCATTCTGAATTTTATTATATAATTACATAAAAATATTTTTCCCCTGCAGAACACATGTAAATAGAAGGAACTAAAAAGTAAGAGATATAAGGGAGACTCCACTCCGTAAAAAAGGTGGACCCATTTTAGGTTAGAAGCTGTCCATCGTGAGGAAGGTATTAAAGGCCGCAGCACACATTCTTGCATAACGCATAAGGGTGGATTATACTGGCCGTATTCTGTTAACTTATGCCGTAATCTGTAAAAATTGACCAATTATAATCAATTATTTCCCTCTCATTCGACTGTGATTGGTCAATTTTTGCAGATTACGGCATAAGTTAACAGATTATGGCCAGTATAATCCAACCCTAAGAGAATCAACCAATCAAATGCTTCTCTTCCGTGAAGAAAAAAGCCCAAACACATGAAAAACTATATCCACACAACTTGCATAGCTGCATAAACGCATGTATAAAGAAAATTATCCAATCGCATTTCCCTTATAGAGATACACGTAAATGTGATTGGATAATTTTCATTATGCATAAGTTTATGTGGTTATGCAAATTTGTGTGAAAGCTATTTATAGCTTAATGCATAGTGCATAAACATAATGGGCCTTCTACAATAAACCGTTTTAAGCGGGGAGCACACACTTTTGCATAACGCATAAAGCATGTGCATAAGAAATTTCATTGGCCCATTTTCTTATGCATGAGTCAATGGACCAATCAAATTCTTTATGTATATGGTTTATGCGTTATGCAAAAGTGTGTGTTTCTCGCCTTATGCTGGATGCTTATTGGTCCAACAGTGTTATTATGCATTTCATGTGCGTTAGGCTTTAAGGATTAAGTTGGAAAACGTTTTGCTATTCGGTTGCGTTCTTCAGAAAATGCCGCTTTGCAACTGTTGTAAAATTCTTGAATACGGTTGGTTCTTACTTTTGATTACTTATGGTTCTAAATGTATAAATCAATCTATTGAAAAATTTTACAACATTTGCGAAGCTGCTTCTCTGCTGAACACAGCCATATCTTCGCTTTTTCTCTTTTCAACGCTCAAAAATGTGTGTATCGCATTTTAAGTTGCTAAATTTTTAGAGATTTCAAACAACACGAACAGACCTATTCATTCAAATGTCTCTAGAATCCTCGTGCTGCTAGTTACGGAACTATCAGGTAGAGGGAGTAAATGTAACTGTGAAGGACGACTTGGCGATGACGGTAATAGACGTTGGGAGGGGCAAAGAAGGTAGAGTGTGTTGGAAAGGGGGGATTGGCGGAACGACCGGCGTTTCGGAGTTCGGAGAGCGCGTATCGGTAGTTGCGAGACGAGGCAGTCGGTGACGGGTTGTGGTCGTCTAGTGCAGTATCGTAGTGAACGGTTTTCATCGCCTTTTCCTTCCCTCCCTTGTGTTCAAAAATGAGCTGGCAGGATTACGTTGATAAGCAGCTGCTCGCGTCTAGGTGTGTTACCAGAGCGGCGATCGCCGGACACGATGGCAATGTGTGGGCGAAATCTGAAGGCTTTGAAGTGAGTAGCAGCTCCAAAAGAATGTATCAAGAAACGGTAGACAGAGAGAGAGAGAGCGCGAGAGAGAGAGAGAGAGATAGAGAGAGAAGGCGAAAGAAAGAGTGAATGAGTGAGAGAAAGAGAGAGTGAGTGAGAGGGTGTGGAAAAGAGGGGTGGGGGGGCGGGAGGGAACGAGCGAGTGATAGTCGTGAAGCGAGAACAACTAGAAACGAGGGAGAAACAGGACAAATAGATTTGGTAGCACGCCCTCTCAATAAAAGGGAAAGTGCGCGGAATAAAGAGCCCTCCGATGAGGCATGGAAGCACGCTTTGTCGGCGCGAGGGAGAGAAGTGCGAAAGACAGAGTGTAAATGAGCGAGAAGGACAAGGGAGAGAGAGAGCGTGCGAGGGGGGGGGGGGGGGGGAAGAGGACAGATGCTCTGACGAGATTATCCGCACGGTTTTCGTTCGGAGGCTCATTCGGCCCGAGCACGAAACGAACCGGTTCAAACGAGTCAGCCGAACTGTGTAGCGCCCGCAATGCGCCGCGTGGTAATGTACGTCGACGATCGGCGACTTCTAACTCCGAAATGTAAATGCCACGTATATGATGTGCACGACACGATTGCCGGCCGGCCGGCCGGTCGGTCGGTCGGTCGGTCGGCCGCTGGCCAAATGGTCGGTCAGTTTAATCGGTCGATCGGTTTACTCGTTTAGTTGGTCGCTCGCTCGCTTCTGTTGCTATGAGACGCCTCGTATCACCGTCAGCGAAAATATTATCATATAACGTTCCGGCGGCAGGTCTTCACCGTCACGAAAATCCACGAAGGGACGATGAGCGGCTTGCGGAGCAGCGGCGGACATGTTCCACGCCATTTCTCGCGAAATACGCGACGGTAGAGTCGTGCGGAACGTCACGCGAGCACATCCTTGTCACCCTCGTTGGATGACCGAGCGACACGAAAATGTCTTCGGCACTACGGGCGTTACTTGCGTTCGCTCGCGCTGCCTTTGAGGATCGATTCTATGCCGAACGCGTCGAAAGGGTGTGGCGTGTACAGTGGCGGTAGCGGCAAGCCAGTTTTCACATTTAAAGTAGTCCGTTGTTTTCCGCCGGTTAGAAAATCTTTTAAATCTTATGTATGGTATTTCTCTGACGATGTGAATTCGTTCTCTCGATGCCCACGTATGCGAGCGTGAGGGATACGAATTCTACGACGGTGAATCATTTATGACTCCGCGTCGTCGAAGACGAGAGTTAAAAGATGGAAACACAATGAAGAAGTACAGACAATAGGAACAGGGAATAAGAGAATTTAACCTATCAGAAAGCGTTCATTCTACAGTATACATGATTACTGAATAGGTATAGGTTGAAATCCCTCTTCTTCTCTGTTCCTGCTACCTGTGCTCTTCATAAATCATTGCGCCTCCAACTTTGTACCCACGTGTGCGTGGCACCGAAATCGGAGAGCTCCGAAATTCTCGCATTTTCATCCCATACGTCCAATACTATCTAGATTGTGTCTCTCGAGAAGCCATGGATCTGTTTTCTGTGGCTGAATTGAGTGTACACCTTTGGCACTTAAAGTGAGATACATATATTTGATATTTGTTAAAAGAGAGAAAGAGAGTTCTAGTGCAGTTTAATGCAGAAACAGAGAACAGACCGAATATCTATAATGGTTTTTCGACGACGGCAACGATGACGCTTAACATGGCCGCGTTCGAACACGATTCAAGCTGGACACACAACGCGTTGTTGCATCGTCATGTAGAAATGGTTATGATAGTTCATATTCGTCAGCAATCACGAGGATTCTTAACAACTTTTACACACGATTTCGTTCGGAGCATCGACTTGATGTAGATTTTGGAGAACGTTTCTCTCCAAGGCTTGATAGACGAATGAACAGAATTTGTAGGTTATTTTAATGACAGTTACGTCGGCACGTGAATTTGCCGGATATACGTAGACTTTAATTCGAATATTTAAAAAATATTTCCAACATTTGTATTGTTAATATCGTTTATATTAACTTCTTTAAACCTGATGTACATTATAATGTACATTAAATTTGGAAACATCTTCCATTTAAATTATTTAATTCGAAATTACTTAAGATATAATCAGATTAGATATAAGTAATAATATATATATATATATATATATTGAAAAAAATAATTCAAATTTTGAAAAAAAATTAATTGTTTAGTATGAACTTACTTACAATTAGTAAGTTTTTTTTACATTGGATTTAAAAAAGTAAAAATTTTTTTTACACACTAGTTTGTTTTTATTCTAATACTTCCAATATATATATTTTTAAACTAATTTTTTTATTTTAATAGTTCAATTTAATTCAGGTTTGAAGGGACTTATTTACTTTTCGATTTATTCTTTGAGTTACAATTTCAGTTGAACATTAGCTTAAAGATGCTGCAGTGACAATTGAGTCTGATTGATGTCGATAAACTAATTCAAAAGTAGAACATACATTTAAAAAACATGTATATTTCTTACTTTATTATCTCCTATATATCGCATGAATTCAAATGCATACATTCAGATTGTACTCTTCCATTTGATTCTCTTGCTCCAAAATCATAAAAATTTCATTAAATATTTATTTAAATACAAAAAACAACTTCGTGCATGCGTGTGCGCTTGGAATTACATATTTATGTCGTATTAAAAAGTGACCTATGTAGTAACAAAAATATGTAATTTATATTATATTTTTTCATATAGATTTGTGATTTTCTGCAGCTATTTGTGATTTTTCTTTCATTCTGTAGAAACACGAAAAAATAGAAAATTATGAAATATGCGTTTCATCAATTTCACAGAACAGCACTCCCTTAAGGTGATCCCACATGGTTACTAATATTGATCAATAATATTAGGCTCGAAATCCTCAAAAAATTTTACATTTAAAATGAGGTAGATATTTATTTGGGGATTCAAAAAAAAAAGCGAAGACGCTGAGTGCAAAACATGCAAGCAATAGACTTATTGAATCAGTAATACTAACAATGTTACTATTTTCAGCATCAATATTTTTACAATCTTACGCGATCCGTATTATTGACATTATTAGTTTTACGTTGTAAACTGTCTGTACTGTGACATACTATGATATAAATCTTAAGAAACAGCATATACTTCTATAACAGTAGCACTACTTATAAAAAAAGAAGGGTCAGTTTCACAAATTTCGATTGACTTATATGATATAACTTATATTTATGATAAATTTCTTCACTTCCAGATAAATTGCAGATAACTTTATCCAGGAGATATCTCCTATTGTATTCTGAGAGATATCTTTTGGATAAAGGTTATTTAGAGGTGAAGAAGTTGGGCATTAATCAGCCGATTAAATATCGCCAACTGCAAGATTTGAAAATGTCTTTTTCTGACGGGCGGCGTCGAGTACTCATACGTTTGACTCGTATGATTTTTTTCGTGATTGAGAAATTTGCGTATAATGGAAATGGGAATGCAAAAAAGGACCTGTGTTATTATCCCATCGTTTTTCACAGCTGCTAGAAAATTAGGTTATGTTTTCAGTCTTGCAGTTGGCAATATTAAAATTCAATCGACCGATTAGCCTAATCAGAGTTGGTGAGACCGGCCCCAAAAGTGTAAACGATGATTTAGGGTAGAAGGTTGTTTTGTCTATGATACGGATTAGACGAAAATATTATATTGACATTCGATATATTGATGTATCGAATATTGACGCGCCCTCTTCAAACACTTATTATTACTGTCAATATCCCCATTACACAGCGATATTGCTCGGGAATCAAAATCCACATTACCGTCAATATTCTAATATCAATCTCCATCAATATTAACCACCCACGATCAGTAATTTTGTCAGTATATTTGTTAATACCGACATTATTATTAACTGTATATCACCTTTAAATACTCGTTCTGTCTGTGTCCATAATACATATATTGTATATTTTCCATGGTCTTCTAATAAATAAACGGAATTTAATGAATATTTATTATCAATCTCTAATAATTTATTTTTAATAAGCGGAGTTGTGTATATACACACACAATTACGTACATATGATACATTGATTCTCTGTCTTGCGTTTTAAAATAATATTCAACACGGTTGTAAATCATTTGAAAACTTTTTCAATATGTTTCACATCAGTTAAAATCAAAACTTTTAAAAATTTCTTCGTATAAATTCCGACAATTTACATGAAGACGTTTTTTGTATCTTCAATGAAACCATTAATATTAGGTTATATCGGAACAATATGCATTGCATCGTTTTCAGTTTAGGTGTGTGACTTAAATGCAACAAATTAAAAAAGAAATTTTGTGGTTCGATGAATCTCACAGTGAAAGTTTATATCCTGATTAGTACGCCATCCGCAGTTGCATTTTTGAAGCTTATTGCGATTTCTGTCGGTAAATTTATCATTAAGGTAACTGTTATTCGCAAAAGATCTTAGAACTATAGGGGAGGTCAGTCAATTTGGATAGGACTGGGCATATATTGGAAATACTTTTATTCGAAAAACGGTATTTTTGTAACACAATTTTATCTTGTATTTGATATTTAAAATACTAAAATTGACAATTAATCTTGTTGAATTATATGAAATAATAAAACTTTTAATCTTTCAAATTAAAATACGTAATACTTATTTTTATGTGCACTATTGAAATGCAAAATATAATAAGATACATTTGTATTACAAAAGCTAGGTTTTAAATGAAAGTATTTGAAATACATACCCAGCCTTGAATTTGGATAATTAACCTTCTTGGGTAATAGGATAATTTGATCTTCACAATTTTTCATTTTTATTTGAACGAGGAATTTTATTGTTATTGTAAAGTTTTGAAATATAATTTAAAACAAGCATATACATCGTTCTTATTCTAATACGATGTATCATCCTGATATGGTAGTATCATTCCTGGTTCTTTAACATTTGTAACTCCATTTTTAGAGAAAACACTTTCACCATAAACCTCACAAAACTGTCGGAAATCGGCTAACGTCTCACACATATTCCCTGAAAAATTAATTCTTTTGAAAAAATATCAAAAATTGAAAATATTATTTATTACTGGAACTCTTCCTAAAATCATCTAAAACTATGTATCTTTTAAAATCCCCTAAAAATCTGTAGTCAAAACTTGCGGAGGAGAAAATGGTCACAAAAAGGTAACAGGTCAATGGCCATTCTGGAAAGATATATTTACATGCATAAACTTGCATACAAAAACATCGAAATGTAAACGTTACGTCACCTTGTTTTTGCTTAGTGAAGATGCAACTTTTGATTTATTATTGTGTATTTTATACTATTTCATTAATATACACGTAATTTAAATATTTTATTTAAATTATGCAGATATTTGTAACTTTAGGTGAGTCCTGAGTGAGGCGGTACAAATTTTCGGCACTTTAGAATAAGCACATATAATAGTTTATGTAACGGTTTTTTCTAAAAGAGGCACGCACACTTGGCGCCTTTTTTTACCTTTTTTCTAAAGAGGTAAATTTGTTGTGATGAATATTTACGCTAAGGAAAGCTGTAACTTTTCCAGATGACTTCCGGGATATATATATATGTAAAATGATCTTCGCGTAGCTTAAGCATGATATCACGCTGTCACTGTGAATAAGAGATTTCTCTTTATTTTTAGGTAAGTAAAGAAGAACTCGCGAAATTAGTGCAGAGTTTCGAAGAGCAAGACATCCTGACGTCGTCCGGGGTTACCTTAGCTGGCAATAGGTACATCTACTTGTCAGGCACGGACCGTGTGATAAGGGCAAAACTCGGTAAAGTCGGCGTCCACTGCATGAAGACGACGCAAGCCGTAGTTGTCTCTCTATACGAGGATCCCATACAACCACAGCAAGCCGCATCTGTCGTTGAAAAACTGGGCGAATACCTCGTGTCCTGCGGCTATTAGGTCAGTATGCGACAACAACTTTCAGCTTGCTCAGCTTGAAGTAATCGTTGACATCGCAAACACTGTTAAATGTATAATGTCAAATTTAATCGAATATACGAGTCGCCACTGCTCCTAATAAATATATCGTTATTATAGACTAAAACGATAATTAAATTTGACACTATATTGTGTCAATTTACTACTATATATGTCAAATTAACACACTGTACTGTGTCAAATATAATTATTGTTTTAGTATGAAATAATGTAATGGAGTAGGAGTAGTGGCGACTGTTATCAGTCTAAATTTGATACCATAGATTTAATAGTGAAGAGTTAGCGCTTTATTATAGGAACTCAAAGCGGATGTAGAGTGAAACTTCTTATCAGTTAGAAAGTTCTCTATTACGAATTTTGGGAAATATTTATTTTTTTTATATATATTTTGTTTATAGAGAGAGAAATTCGATTTTGCCTTTCGTAAAGACAGCAAAATTATAAACCGTATTATTGCATTTTCTTTAAATTCATCTTTAACGGCCCTTTTCAACCATTCATGAATAAAAACTTCTGGCCTTGTTCTTTTTTTGCGCGCGCGACGTATGATAAAATTTAATTTCGAAAACAAACGAATTGAAGCAAAATGTATGTATGTATACATATCTTACTTCATTATTAATAATATTATTAATTATAAAAAAAATGCTGTATGTATTGTCTGAGTTATAATTTGCACATGATGGAATTTTTTTAAACACACACTTTTAAAAAATAATTTAAATATATTCAAATATCGAGAATTACTTTGAATATTATTCGAAACAGAAATTCTTAAAAATCTTGAAATTTTGAAAGTTTTGAATCTCTAGATAATATTTTTGCATTAAAAGTTTTTAAATATCTAGAATGTTGAAAATGAAATGGAACGAGTGAAATCAATTAAAAGAAGCGCCACTTGTGGTCAGATTTAGATGTTAGAATAATACATTTATATACGTATACAAATCTTACCATTACCGCATCTCTTATTAAGGGCATATTTTTGAGATAATTTAGAGACAAAAATCTTAATACAAAAAGTTTTGAGGATAGAATAGTTTCTAAATTATTAACGATTAAAGTTTATTAATTACAGAGTTGACATTTCGCGCACTCAGGCATGATAATATGACAAATAATAAAGATGCTCTTACGGGTGGGGGACTCTTTACATTGAGATTATCATATCAATATGCAATGATTTTTTTATTATTAAGAAATCGTTTTTGCTTGTATAGAATGTATTTGTACATTACATATACATATGTATGTAATCATATTGTGGAACGCATTACAAAATATTAATTCATTAGCGAGATATTAGATACGAAATGTGTCAGCTGTCGAGATAAATTTATAACTATAAATATATTTATTGTCCTGTATAAATATTTTTATGGTAATATTATAGGAATAGATTATTTTTGACATGAACAAAATTAAATATGTTGATTTTATATTAAATATTAGGTTATTCGGAAAATTCGTTTCAAATTTTTTAGCTCAAAATAGTATATTATACATTTAAAAAATTTGCGATTATACCATTCAATAGAGCAAAGCTTTAAAAATTTGATTTCTTAATTGCGGTACGATGATTTTTAACGGGGAGTTATGACAGCAATTAAAATTAAGATGTTCCTTTACTTAATTCGTGAATAACTCAGAAACAAAAAATCGTAGGAACATTTTTTAAAAATGATTACGTATGTTGGAAAGGCTTCCAACTTCCACGATAGGTAGTTGAAAATTTTTGTAAATTTTTTTTGGACACGTGAAAGATCCACAAAGTAAAAAGAAAAATCTTTTTTTAGCTCGTAGTTTTTATATGTAAAAATTACTATCAAACTGACAGAAACTTAAGAAATATAATAATCTCTCTTTCAAAAATAGAGATTTTCAAAACTTTAAAACCTTTTTTTTTATTTAAATTTTGTTCATTTTTTACGAAGATATTGTATATACAATTTTGAGTTATAAAATTGAAACAAACTTTCCGAACAATTTAATATGTTGAATAATAGGTTAAAATGTAAAATTTCATGTCTAATGCACTTATATTCAATTATCAATATACACATTTTTTAATGATTACTCTATTAAAAAAAAATTAAGAAGATAAAAATTGACGTAGATCATATCAATATCAAAAAGATGTTTATGTCATTAAAATTTACAAAGATAAATCGACACCATTTTTACTTATAATTAAAATAAGGAAGACTGAGGCACTATAACATGGGTCATTGACTATTTAGAGTAATTGGAGAATTTAGGTTAGTGTACAACTGGTATCGTACGATTGTTACCTGGTTGCATACATATACTACATATCTGAATGACGGCGATTCACTTCCGTTATCTTTGCATACACATGCCGTTAAAGATTTTCGTGCACAAGTAAATTATTTTACCACTTATAGAATTATTTAAATATTGTGTCCTGTCGTCGCTCTCACTTTGTGTTATAAAGTGTACGCAAAGCAAGGGCCATCACACACTAAAATATGGGTTAGATTTTCTTTGGGGAGAGGGAGAAGGCGGCACATACTGCCTCCACGTATACACTTTACGATGCGAATCAAGAGGAGAGATGTGAGGTAGTTCTCAATATTGTACATACAGCAGAAATGAGACGTTATTTCTTAAACTTTTTCGTTTATAACTTTTTAACGAGTAACGAGCGACAGCTAAAACTTGTTGGAGGTCACTCAGAGTCATAACCTTGACAATATTGTCAAGATCAACTTGATCGAGTATCCGTTATATTGTAAATAATTACAATGATTTTTTTTTTTAGAAAAATGCCATATGATACACGATTTACGTCCTTCATGCGCTGTCTCATTTTGGTCAGCATATATCTTTGCTTTTATCCTTTATATCCAGGTTGAATATTGTAATAATAGTATTGTAATATTAGTTTTAGAGATTTTCGTATCTCAACGTTTTGAAATACACACTATGCTGTACACGATAAAAAACGAAATTCAAGCAATTCTAACGATCTTCTCTCTCTTAAACTACTTATATATAAGTAGTATAGAGTAATTATTCCGGGTATTTACCGCGTGAGAATTTGCGCCACAGAAATAAAAAAAATGGAATGAGTGGGGGGTGATATAATATTAATAAAGTTACTGTCAGCTGAATCGATTTGTCAATGTAGTGAATAGGGCAATCACATATCATAATTCACAAAATGATTATTATAGAAATTAGAATAGAGCAATACAAATGAGCAAAAAATTGATTTTTTCATCAAAGGTAAAAATCCGCTTAAAATTTAGGTAATGATTTATTGTAGAAAGCTCATAAAATCACTACTAATTTAAAAATTATTATATTTCCGATATTCGTATTACGATTTTTATCTCTAAATTAGCTTCAGAATACTTAAAAGAAAATGCGGTAGTGGCGGGACATACTATATATATTCTAATAAATTCTCAGAAATTGAATGTGAGACTATGCTTGACAGAGAACAAAATAATATAAAGCGTGTTATATATACATATAAGATATATTATACATAGATTTATATATATACATACATATATAAATGTTATGTATGTATATATCATATATATATAATTTTCAAAAATAAAATGTTATACGTGTATATACATAAATATATACCTATATGAAATATGTATATAAAAAAACGTATTTTCAAAATATTGAACAATCTTTTGATATTTCAAATACGTTTAAGAGTTTTTAATTTTTTATTTATTATATTGTGAAACATTCGAAATTATTTTAAATTTTATATGTTCAAAATGATTCAAAACGTTTTGCATTAGGTCCATCACTATCCGTGCGACATGTTGGATTAACGCGACGTTTATTCATGATTACTCTCGTACGATCGCTTCGATTTAACCAGTAAGCTTGCATCCCACGTCGCTACGCGTTTATCATTATCGGTTTGTCATTCAATACTCGTCCCGTGGACATTCGCACACACTCCTATTGTGCCGATGTGCGTTTTCCTGAGCGCTTGTCAAAATGCTTCTACAATTGGAAAAACTGTTTTCCCTTTGGTCGGATTGTTTCAAGTATTCATGTGTATTTACGTTCATGTAATTCACGTAAATTGTAATCGACAGCAATCCAGAAATATGAAAATACAAAAAGTTTACATTTACGAACAAACACAGGAAAATATCAACCAAATGATAAAGTTCCTTGCATGCTCTAAACTGTAAATAAAAAGAATTTAGATAAAACCAAATAATGAGATTGCATTATAACACTTGTAAAAATGACCGAAAGCTTAGGCTAATCTGCCTTGATAGTAAATAAATAGTCCTAAAAGGCATATGAAGTTCGCTTAACGCGCATGCGAAGTCTATTTTTATTTCACGTGCCGTTTACAACTATTTATTTACCTGGTTAATCCGATAATCATATAACTACCATATAACATAAACGTAAATATACATTATTTACCTATATATTATGTAGTAATTATATTCATGGTTTGCTGAGATGGCAAGTAAGGATAGCTTTCGGCCATTTTTACAAGTGTCTTAAAGCGATCCGATTATTTTGTTTTATCTACATTCTCTTTATTTATAAAAGATTTCTGGTATTCAATGCTATTACTTCTCAATCTATAGAATAAAATAAGATCGATTCAAAGACAATCATATTTATTCTTTAGAGAAGAATATTTTATTTTTAAATGAAAATTTCTAAAATTTAGAATAAAATATTCTTTATTTAAATTAAATTAAATATTGATCTGAAAAAGAAATCTATTTTCTTAATAGAAACAAATTTAGAAAAATTCTCTTCTTATGGGAAGAATGCAAAATGTTAGGGACCGAAAATTAAGTTGTAGACCTAATAAAACTGAATAAAGACTTATTGTAAGAATATATAAACTTAATTTATTGTATTTATATCATACTTGTCTCAAGACAAGATGTTGATCTTATTTTATTCGAGAGAGAGAGTAAAATAAAAATTATAATTTTTTCAATATATTGATTTAATCTTAATATAGTTATAATTTTATACAGAGTTAAGTTAAGATCAAGTACGTCAGGAATTTTTTTTTCTAGGTACCACAAATCCTTTCTGAGAGTGCATATATATGAAATTTTAACGTCTCATTTCTTCATGACGTCACGATTTAATATGACTGCACAGCGACTACTCAGGATACTTAATTACATTTAACACACACACACACACACACACACACGCGCGCGCGCGCGAGTATAACGCTTTATTTATGCACAAAAATTGTTAACTTCAGATAGTTCGTTCACAAACTATTGCGCATAAATATTAAAATTATACAAATATTAAAATTGAGAAAGCACGTTTATTTACTAGTTTTATTATGTATATTAAGCTCCCTGATTCGCTGTTTATACATATATAGCATACAACTTGTGACATCAGAAGCAAAACATAAAAATTTTTCTTGTAAAACGTCGAAGTAAGATATTTTTTTCATATTTTATTACTTTCGGTATGTTATACTGTAAAAAATAAAATATTAATTTTAACTTAAGGACGTTGAGTGGACTTTCTGAGACATGCAAAAATGTTAACATTTTTATGTTAATTTTAAGTGTACTTTTTACAAGACTAAACTAAAATTAAATAAATTAATTACAGAGTACTAAAGAAGAAAATCATATCTTTGCGAAAAGATTCGAAAAACAAGATTAACAATAAGTATAGTTTTAAAAAGAAAAAATCATAAAATGTAAAAAGAAAAATACGTTTTTCTTTATTTCTTATTTAGTTTTATGAACTATAATTATTTCAATGGAAGTAGAAGTATTTTGAGATACGCTCATCGAATGACATCATCACCGGATAGTAGCAGCTCTCCAGTTTTCTGAAAATAGCTACTATTTCTGTTTCTTTTCGTGCATTTGTCTTTACATTTTATTACAAAAGTTAGAATTTTTAGCATTTCAAAATAATGAAATATTAATTTTATAAAATATTGATTAAATATTTTGCAAAAAATATCATTTTTTTTACTTATGATTTTATGCGAAGTATGTTAGCTAACGATCGTCTTTCACATTTTTACTTTAAAAAAATATTTTTTATAAATAAAATTATTTTTGTCAATAAAATATTTAATTTCAAATTGGTGAAAAACTTATGAATTTATGATCCAGGTCCAAGCTAGTTTTTTAATTTAAGTATCTCATTTGTGAACAGTCAAGTAAAATACTGCTATAAAATACGGCGTTTATTAGGGAAAGGTTCAAAAAATGAATTCAGCTATAATTGAAAATCTTATATAGTGTCATCGATGTTATTAGAATCTTCCCAATCGAAGGAACGAAGAATAAAAGATTTTAGTGACACAAAACGAAGTTCGGCGCTTGACTTTCAGGCGACGCAAGACGACACGCGAATTCCGTGTGACTCACGGACGGATAATTCTCGGCAAGCGTTTTAGCTTGATATCAGTTTACGTCGATGACTAATCACGTCACTTGTGCATTTGTTTGTGTCTCTAGGTGGCAATATAGTGACAAACATTTTTTCTAAGAATGATTGAGAGACAAATCTCTTTGCACATTTTTATGGATAATTACTCAATTGCATTCGAGTTTGCGCACGTCGCATATTCATTTTTGACGATATTAATCGAAAACGAATACAAAATATGAGTAATTTAATTTTTACTATCAAGAATAACATGTAAATTTATTAAGTATATGATTCATGTACAGAAAAAATATTTGATTTTTGTAGAGAACACAGTTTGCTGTCATTAGTCTCTCTGTAAAAAGTAAAAATTGATTAAGAATACAAATTTTGTGTTTGTTGAAAATAGTTTTATGTTAATTCCTTGTATAAATTATTTTAGCTGTAGTAACAAATTGTTTTACTTCGGTAGCAAAATATATTTATTTTAGTAGCAGATTACTTCAGAGTACATTCATTTTTATATATAAACAAAATTATTCAATAAATTGCACTTTTTAGTAATTCCTATTGTTTGTATGGTAATATGAAATTAATAATAAAATTTTCACATCAAACATGTAATGACAATTACGACTTTATATGCACTAGTGCGTCAAACCAAATTCATTATTAATTATATAAATACAAAGAAATTACATTTGCGATTACATGTAAAAGCGCAAGCATTTCGAAAATATATATAGGTTTTCTTTTTTTCTTTTTCATTGCAAAAATTGCGAATAGATTAGGAAAACTCATTCAAAAAATCAGTTATTTGATAAAATGTTCTTAAAAAAGTCATAAATTAAAATTATTGAACTATTAAGGAAAAAGGCCTATATAGTCGCAATTAGTGCTTAATAATTATAGGGCCTGAACGTTTGTGCACGATTACGGAGTGCGCGCGCGTAGAACTGCTGTACGCGCGAGTGAGCCAGTACTTGCTAAAGCGAGATAGCAACATATTGACTGGCAGACTGGCGCATGGCCTACTCAATACATTTTAAACGAAGCGCGAAGCGGTTCTCCGCGCGTATGTGTGATCGTGTGCACGAACGTCTGGACTCTATCAATTAATTATAAAAAAAAAAAATATTTCTATGTGTACGTTTTAAATACATCTTTTCAATTTTTTAAATTGCGCACCGATTACTGTCGGAAATGCAATCATAGATTGAAATAATAATCTCACAAATATTAAATTGATTGTCAGTTTTAATCATAATGTTAGTAATTAATTTTACTCGATGTGCACTATATAGCCGAAGTGAAGATAATTTTATTCATTATGATATTTTAAGAATCAAATTGTCAAATCTGACTCTTTTTAGTATAATTTTCTAAAACATAATATTAAGTCTTATGACAAAATATTGCTTTTATGAGGCAAAATATGATTTAGCTTGCAAAGTTTTTTTTTCACCGCATAATCACAAACTTGACAATCACAAAAATGAATGAGTGCAGAAACGAGTGTAGGCTGACGTCCCATAATCTATTAACCTGCAACATAATCTTGCTTTCTGTTACAGTAACCTCTGGGACCCAACATAAATATCTAATATTAATAATAAACGATACGATCGATTATTTTAATGAACAGCGAATGGAACATGCGCCATACCGCACGAGTTGCCCCGGAATTGCCGCACGCCCTGCCGCGCGACTCACGATGAAAATGCAGCGACAACAGCAGCAACAAATACATAGCCGAGAACAGCGCATCTACCATTACTGCTCCAGTCATTATTCTTTTCGCAATTTTTGTTTCTTTGACGTGACGTAGAGAACGGAAAGGAAGGCACGCGCGAGTTCATGTTGAATATTGCTGAGTAAACGCATGTACCATACGTAAACAACGACGCACCTTTCTTCCTCTCCCTCTTTTTCCCATGCTTTTTATCGTAGAAACCTGTGTTGCTTCTCTCTTCTCCTTTCGTTCTCCGTTCTCTTGTCTTCTCGGTCATACACGTATACGTACTTAAGCATCGTAGATACGTGTGAATACAGAATAGATACGCGTGTCTCGTGTTCTGTCATCGTGTTATGTCCTGTGACGCGTACGAGCGTCGGAGATTGTGGGGAAACTTCGGCGTCTTATCGATATCGATACTAATATCGATGTCATTTGCCACATCTGCTCTCTATCTGCTCCCAACCCCTGTATAATCGCGCAGCAATGCGAGTCTCGACGGCTGTGACGCGCGAGAGAAACGTGAGATCACATCTTAGACGCCGACGCGTCGCAAGGAGTGATGACGAGGATCAATGGTGGTTTTGACGATAGATCGGTGGGAGAACCGCCGTTATCCGTGTGAGAGCTAATGACGCACGTCACGAGACGTCATCGACATCATAGTGCTGAAATATAATAGCTACGTTTAGCAGAGAAAATCAGTTAACGCTTAGTGAGTTTTTAATATGATTGGTTCTTGCCTTTATATAATTCTTTACTGGATCTAATTGTAAATGTAGCAACCAATCATAGACTACGTTTACACAGCACTTTTAATCGGATTTAATAACATCTGCAGTTATGGACTAACTGGCTAATCATAGTTATTCCTCTGAAGAATGGAATAACTGTATTAGTTTTTAACTATGGATGTTAATAAACCCGGTTAAGAGTGTGTTTGCGTACACATAGTCATATTTAAAGAATTATTAAGCATTACTGATTAGTTTTCTTTGCTGAACGCAGCAGAGAAAACTCATAATACTGAAATAAGTACTGACGCTAGTTTCTCGGGTAAATGTTAAGAATACTCCAGTCACCTTAAATTTTTATATGAAAACCATAGCTGCAGTGTGTGCTCGCATCGCAGTATTTCGTGGCTGACAAATTTCCAAGCAGATTTCTTAACCCATCAACTTTAACGATTGATATCTCAATTCACAGGATAGAGCGACGCTTCGTTCAAATCTATTTTTACGGAAAAGCGCACCAATTAAGTATACTTTTATCATAATTTAAGATAACCGGGGTATTTTAATACTTACCAATTCTCTCACGATTCGACAAAGAGGATTCTATATGGTATTCGTTTTTTTAATGCAATCTGGTTAAAAGTTTCATTACTATAGATTGGATTACACGCCGAATTGTCTCTAATGAGGGATGTGTGCCGTATCAAATTGAAATGAAAGATTAAATTAAATTAAAATTATACTTTAGTGAAATACATTTAACATCATAGTGTGTGTATATATATTACATATATATATATATATATATATATATATATATATATATATATATATATATATATACTACGTATACTACTAAACGTTAACTTTTTACGAGAATGTATCCTACTATTATTTACTGCACTACTATTATTTACGCTCAAAAAAGACTAAAATACCACTTGGAACACTCTCGAATCACTTTTAGCGTTTCCCCTTGGAATGTATTAGATATAGTTCTGCATCGCACTAGTTGCGTGTAAGCACTACACTATGCTGAAGTTGTGTACACCATAATGTATCCTATTTCATTAATGCATTAAACTTATGCTTCTGTTTGATTTCTATTTTCATACTTTAAATGTCACACTCGCTCTACACTGGTCCTTTAAAACGGTGTAGCAAATTGTACATTGTACATAAAACATGCATTACATCATAGCCACGGAAACACGTTATACCGAATTAGTTTGCCTATTATCAGTCATGAAAACTCATTACATTAAGTGTTATACTGATGGGCGATAATACAGCCAAGGGAAAGTGCTATTAATGAAAGCGACTGTAGAGCGATAGAGCTGTGCTCGTTCCAGTATTAATATTTTAGCATCATAGATATTCGTGAACGATGCAAGTGCACGGTTCTTTGATTGAAAAAGCGTGGCATATGATGATCTTTTGCACAACGATGTCACTATTATATGGATTCAGTAATGGTGAGGTAGACAAATCAGATCTGGAACCTGGCATGCCTTTGTCATCAAAAGATTAAGGCCCGACCAGCGTTATTTTAACTTTAAGCGAGGTTCCAAACTCTTTTTTTATCTCACCCTCTCTTTCTTTCGATTTTAGATCGATTGCACCAACGTTACTTTATCTTTAAACGGAACTTAAAACTTTCTTCCTCTATGTTTATTTCTCTCGGCTTCAAAAAGAGAGAGAGCAAGCTCTAAGTTTTGTTTAAAATCAAAATAATGTTGGTGCAATCGGCCCTTAAAGAAAGAGAGTTTTAAGCTGAAAATAAAATCGGATCTAAAAAGGGCGAATTGCAATGGATCATAACGTGAGTGAAGATTCGCTATGGGATGAATGACAATTTTTAATGCGATGTCGCATCGTTCTTCATTTCTTGCGTTACACGCGTTTGGTTTCTTTTTTGGAAAAGGAGGAGTCACCAATATATTCTGCGAGAAATCAAGTTATTATGCTTGAATTTATCGAAGATAATTATTTTGTCACTGTTTGTGAAGAATATATGTATCAAATATTGTTTAAAAATAATATGTTGTACGCGAAAACAATCGATTTCATCTTGTATCATATATTTAACACACAAAGTGTAGACAGTTGCTTATTTGCTTCATTGCTTCATGCATTCACGCGTGTATGAAGAAAAATACATCAAGCGACAAATATCAGAAAGAGAGAGAGAGAGAGAGAGAGAGAGAGAGAGAGAGAGAGAGAGAGAGAGAGAGAGAGAAGAGAGAGAGAGAGACAGAGAGCGAGAGAAAGAAATAATGATAATAAATAATAAATTGTTGTGTGTTTAGGCTTACTATCTTTTTTGTAGAGCACGATAGGATGAACATGTGCGCGAGATAGAGAGAGGGAACACGCATGCGCAAGCAGAGCGAGTGCTCGCAGGTGTGTGCGTGTGCGTGTGTGTGTGTGCGTGTGCGTGTGTGTGACGCAGGTTTGTTCCTATCAAAGCTCTTACTCACTTCAACGCGCTCGTTGGAGTAACAGCTATGATAGGAGCATGTTGAAGCATGCGATGCGAACAAACCTCTTTAGATAGTATACAACATCCATAACGTCTATGAACGTTCTATGAATATTTGTACATTTTTAGAACATTCTATGAACGTTTTTAGAAATTCTATGCTGTATGGGTCGTGATTGATTGAGAGTGAGAGAGAAAAATAGAGAATGATCGATAAAACGAATTTTGAAAATAAACAGCGAGGTAATGAGAAGAAGGAAAAGTAAACAGGAAAATGTAGAGAAAAAAGGGAGAGGAAAAGATAGAAATGTGTGTATTCGCGCGCACATAATAGTGAGAGGGAGAGAGAAGATGTGACAAGGTAGCAAGAACGGAGATATGATGCTGCGATAACGATAGCGATGACGATAATGATGATGATAAAATGATGACAATGTGAGTATGCGGCAGCGGGTGATACGGCATGGATTGGCCGCAATCCTGGCCGCCTCCCCCATTTCCCAAGAATTGATACGGTCCTTTTAGCTATTTACTGTCTTTATTATTGCTATGTGTAAGAAAAATAAAACAAAATGGCGAACGATGTGTCATAAACTGCTGAGATTTTTATCGACAAGACGGTGTGTGTGAGAGAGAGAGAGATATATATATATACGCAAAAAAAGAACACATCCACATCAGCGTATATATAAACATATACACATATTACATGTACACATATTGCCTCATTTACAAATGCATGTGAGAATAAAGAAAATTATACGGCAGATGCATTCGCAGGTATATCGATAGTGGAATTTTTCAAAGGGGTCCATCGAATGAGCCTAATATCGAAACGTTTGAGTGGAAAATAGCAGCGTGAGAAGTGAGTGATGAGATAAAACTTTTTCTCGATTAATTTATATATTTGTGTAGAAATGGCGGCCTGGTTTTGCCATGCGTTGTACGAGAGAATACTGAAATATTAATTAATACTTAATGTCTCGCGATTTTATTAGATATTTCACTGTTTTATATTACATTACATATTAATATAAAAATATATTAAATTTTGTTATAATTTGATATATACTTATGTACAAGACCACATCCTATTTCTTAATAGAAAAAAGGGGGAACGTGATGTACGACTTCTCTATTACATTGAAGAATGCACGATCAAATTAGGAAAAATTTTCGATTTATGTTTTCGAATATCTCCGGCTGTATTAGACGACTTGGTACATAATATTAGCGATTAGTTTATCGCATTTATCTATTGTCAGGATCATCTAATCATTCCTAATTCTAGCTCTTTTATTCTCTTGTGTGTTGCCTTCAGTTGCCAACTTGACGTCGACCTACCGCATGGTCGTATCATCTTATCTTTCGGATTTGTGTCCTGCCTCTGTATCCTTTTGAATCAGTTTCCAGTTGTCCGACCAATCAAGGAACAGTAGAATGAAACAGAATGTATAATTGACACGCATGAGATATTTTTTATCGATAACAGATGACAGAAATCGCACGACAGTTCGTTTTTGAAAGGAAAAGAAAGAGGAGAAAGAAAGAAAAACAGTGAAGAAGATTTTTCTTTATCCCCTTTACATCGAAAAACATAAAACAAGGATATAGCGATGTACCTGCGAATTCCTGCCAGTGTATTCGAAATTTCCGCGTTAATTATGCGTGCGTATTTATCAATGGAGAACATGAACACATGTACATTCAAAAGTCACACATACACACGCGCGCACATACACACACACACACGCACGCACACACAATTATTACTATTCTACTATTACTACTACTGCTACTATTACTACTGTAATTGGATGCTTGTCGATTTGTCAGACGTCAAGCAGCGGCCCAAACTACTATGTAACGATTTTTATTGATAACAAAGGAAGGAATAAATATTGAAATAATTGTAATAAAAAAGAAAAGAAGGCCAAATGACTTTTAAACTATATTGTCCAAGCATATTGGTATCTATCTTCCGGATTCCATTTCTAGTGCCTCTTCGTATATTTAAGGGATTAATATTATACACATGTTCCTTTCTTCTCTGCGACATTATACATATACATATATTTTCTTGTTGATATCAATTAACTTCAATTAATTTATTGTTCCTTTTAAAAGCAAAAATTAGCATGAAAAAAGGATGACACTTTTATCTTTATTGAATAGCTTTAATAAGCTTATGTAAATTAAGATTTTCAAAAATGAAAACGTAGAACATATATGAAAAGTATATTAAATTTTTTTCTTATCCATTGTATATTTTGTTTATATACTTTACCTTCTATTTCAAATTTCTTCAAAGAAGAAATGATTTAACAAAAATTGTTGATCTCTCGTCACTATATATTATAGCTATATTAATGAAGTATAATATTATTCATATGTATTAATACGTTCTTTTTAACTTTAATCGTCATAACAATATCGTTAATAGTTTTATTAATTTATTTGGTATATGAGTAAATGAAAACGCGCACATGTCTTATTTTCACATCTTCACTCATCTTGAAATCGAAGTTGGACGCGTTTACTGGTAAGAAGAAAAGGCGTTGATAGGATTCTAGAAAGGAAGACAAAAGGATATGTATTTATACATATTATTTTTGGCATAATTTTTTTCAACGCAATTATACGAGAGATTTTTCAATATTATTAAAAGAACTATATAATTGCATTGAAAAAAAATTGTGCCAAAAAGATTGTTAATAATATCAGTAAATTAGATATAATTTTTAAACTTACATCGAGCGTGTGATTAAACTGAAAGTACAGAGGACATAGTACTAATCTTACTATCAGTGTGCGAAACATATAATCTAAAATATATTTTGAGAGAATTTAAATATATATATAAATACACAATATGTTCTTGGCAGAATTAATATATTTTATTCTATATTATTATATAATATAATTTTTTTTTTCTTAAAGCTATGCTGGCCTGAATTGCACTTTTTGCAAGTAATTGGTTGATTATATTTGGTTGACATTAAAATAACCTTCTTTAGCATAACAATCTTATATTCAGAGTTCCTTGGTTTTATTCGTCATTTACAAATGGTCCTATCAACCAATTATCCATGTCATACTTTAAGCAGCTAGCTTACTTGTCGAGTAATTGCATATAATTGGTTCTAATACTTACAGATCCAACCAATCATATTCAACCACTCGGGCAGCTCAGTCAACTTGAATGCGACTAAAACTTAATCCGCTAAGTTTTGTCAATTCCCGCTCATATTTGAATCACTATATAGCATTACCATTATCTACGCCACT